TTATTTCCATGAATGACTGAAAAATTGTGCTGAACACTGGAATTTGACACAACATTGTAAAATGATTATAAATCAATAAAAAATGTTAAAAAATGATTATTTTACTAGATTCTGCTATGTTGCAGGCATGTGCAGCTCTGGTCTTTGTCCAGACAGTTTCAGGTGTTTGTAATTTGGGTGGTGAGTTCTCTTCAGTGGGGCTCTTCACTTGTGAATCCAAGGAGAGGTGAGGCCTCTTCAGCAGGTGTCCTTCCGGAGTTTTCTCGAGTGTGTGTCTCCTGGTGTTATCACCACCGTGGGAGCTATTTTTAATGTAACCTTCTCAGTCTGTGAATGTCCAGACCACATGTGTAGTGTAATTTTGAACCCCAGACCTGGTGAAAGCCAGGCCCATGAATATGAATTCAGTGTATTAGTTTATTTCTTCCTCCACCGGATAACCTTCCCAGCTGGAGCCCAGATCAGACAGGCCTCCCTGTCTTGTCCCTCAGCACACGGGCTGTTTTCTTGGTGTAAACCAGTCTACTGGTTCACTGATGATACAGCCTTCTGATGGACCCTGGATCCCACAGCCTCTGGCTCAGCCCCTCCTGAGTTCGCCCGCACGCTTTCCCCGCCCCGACGGCACACGTCACTCCAGTGCTGGCTGCTTGGTCTGCGGCTCCCTCATTCACTCTGCCTGTGCTGTACCGCACACTCCCGAGAGCGCAGCCGCCCACTGAGAGGCCGGCTTGTCTGCAGGGAGTAACGCAGCTGCAGAGGGAGGACTTCAGGTCTCCCATCACGTGATTGGAACCAGGAGTCTTCATCAGTTTATGGGCAGAATTTTTAATAGCATACATACTCTCTTTAACTTTCAAAAAATTTAGCATAAATTTGCCTATCCACCTTTGTTTTCAGGGTTATAAACATTTTCTTTTTTTTAACAGATGTTGTGGTACCAACTGGAGAAATCTGATGAGGGCCTATTTTAATTAAATTCTATTGTCAGCCACGGGTCAGTTTTTAGGAAACAAACACACAGACAAGCCAATAAACAAACAAAAGCATATATACATTTACATGAACTATCTTTCTAAACGCATCTGCTGGCCTTTCTGAATGGGAGGTAAACACGAGGGCTCCTGCGGAGCAGAGCCAGGCCAAGTGCCTGAGTCCCGTGTGGCCTGGGACTGCAGGTTATGGGAGCAAGTGAGCCCACCATCCCCTCCCCAGCGCTTCCAGTGTGGGAGGGGAAGACGCACATTTAAGGACCAGGGTGACAGGATGTGGCTCTAGTACAGTGTTTGGCAAGCAGCAGACCAGCTGGTGGCTTTGAATGTTTAGTAGGACAGGAAGGGCAACCGTCACTACCCCGGTGATTCGGGTATGACCCCAGGAGCGTACCCTCGTATCATTTAGAAATGCTGTAAAACTATATGCTAACTGCGGGCTTAAGTGGAGTATTTTAAATTTTATTGCTTTTTCGTGTCAAGCATTTTAAGTCAATTCTAAATAATTTCACAAAAGATACAAAACAATTGCTGGAATGAGGGTGGGAAGGACACATCCTCAGGACAGCAGCTGGCGCCTGTGCCACTTTGGGCTGCTTCTCACCCCTGTGGTCACCTGAGGAAGGGCTGCTATTCAAGCAAACAGCAGTAACCCTGGCAACTCTGACGTCTGTACCCCAGGGAGTCACATTCCGCAGTGCGGTCTGCACTGGCTTTCACTTGGGAAGGTCTCTCTTGATTGCGTGTAACAGGTTCTAGATTACTGCAGAACTCTGCTTAGGATTTATAATATGCTTAAAAAAAATCTTTATTTTGATTTTTAAGGAAAAATGTGGGCCTCTGGTTAGGGCATAGTGTACTGTATTTATTGTCTGCGATATTCCTTTCTTATTAACACATGCCCTATTTCTTCTAAAGCAAGGTTTGTCTTTTTTTTGTAATTATGATGTCTATCTTTTGAAGTTTAGTCATAGCAGTCTGCTGATGTCATAGATTTTAAAGATTATGTTCTCGGAAGAAACAGTGAAAAGAAGTTGGTGGTGATGATCAAACAGGTTGAGACAAGAGACTTAATTAGTGCTGAGACAGAACTTACAATGTAGATCACGTTCATCTTCAAGCTGAGAATGAATTCCATTCTGCCATGACTGCAATAGGATTTTAGCTCAAATTTCTCTTCTTGTCATGTCTTCCTGCTAAAACTGGCTAACTGAACTTCTCTGCACGTAAAATACCTTAAGTACCAAAGGCGTCATCTTTTTTTTTTCACTGAGGTGTAGTCAGTTTACAATGTTGTGTCAATTTCTGGTGCACAGCACAATAGTTCATGCATATACACACATACATTCTTTTTCATAATAGGCTACTACAAGAGATTGAATACAGTTCCCTGTGCTGTACAGTGTAAACATGTTTTTAGTTATCTATTTTATATATAGGAGTTAGTATCTGCAGATCTAGAACTCCCAATTTATGCCCCCCATAACCACAAGTTTGTTTTTTATGTCTATGAGTCTGTTTCTGTTTTGTAAATAAGTTCATTTGTCTTTTTTTTTTTTTTAGATTCCACATATGAGTGATATCATATGGTATTTTTTTTTCTCTTTCTGACTTACTTAAGTACCTAAATCTTCTAATTTAGTTTTTCTTTCTTTCTGGAAAACACACTGAAGATCACATCCAGATATCTGGCATTAGCAAATAGATTTTCTAGCAACAGGACACCTACTTAAAATGCCTGAATTGATTTTCAAAAATCAACGAAATTTCATTTTCCCCATGAAAATATTTGTCTTGGAAAGTGCACGCTATTGCCCAGCAAGTGGGTAAACTTCAGAAGGGCACCCCCGGCCGGGGCCTCCTCTGGCGGCGAGTTACCCCGCACACTGACTCGCGCTCATATCGCTTTTCCAGAGCAGTCCCGCTGGGTCAAGTGCTGTCGCTGGTAACTTTCACTGATGATAAAACACTAAAGGATATAAGTGATTTACTTTTTAAAACATAAGTAAATGAGAGTGAAAAATTAGGCCTCTAATACCGTCATTCAGTTTCTCCGTCTCAAGAGTGGAAGGGGAAAGACGTGTTAGATGTAACCCCCGCTTTGTGTGACGCTGCCCTGATGAGTGAGCGCCTCCTTTGACGTGCCGTCAGGAGTTGTGACATTTGGGAAGTACTCAGTGCTTTCCTTGTCCCCAGAGCTCTGTTCTGCTGGTCAGAATCCGAGCCAGTGGTTGTGCACGAGCTTACCACTTATTATGGGCTGCATCTCTTCCACCTCCAAACAAACAGCCGTTGCTTTGAAAATGCTGCCAGAGTTTAATTAAGCAAAGTCAAGCTAATTACCTTCAGCAGTGAGAGCGTTTTCGCTAACACTTCACAGTTGGCGGCCTTCCTGAGCCAGGCCGTGGAATGACAGGATGAGCCCGGGGGTTCTCACCTGGGGGTACCACTGCAGCCCAGACAGAGCAAGGTGTCTGTCTCCCTGCGTGTCTCCTCGCTGCCTCCACAGGCAGGGCGGCCGCAGCCTCTCCCACCTCCGTGATCCACGCACGGGTGTCCGTCCCAAGTAACACAGTCTGTGGACCCCCTTTCTCAGACAAGCACGAACAGCGGGGAGATGGACTCAAGGCCTGACGTGGACACAGGCGTTGCGACCCTGGCCCAGCACACAGAACACAACCGGGTCACTACTAACAACAACAGAACTTTAAGCAAATGCGCCGTTAAAACCCTTACATAATTGTAGCAGGTTTGGGTTTCCTCAGGTTCGAGTGTTCTTGCCTCTTTGATAATCAGACAATCTGAAGAAAGGCGTAGAATTTCAGGGGAGAATCTGCGGGACAGGCTCACAATGAGGCTATTCACAGGGCTCCTTTATTGGCTTCCACAGTATCTGCACCGTGCGTAGTCCCTGGCTTTGCTACAAGGCTCCATTTAAACTTAACCCATCTTGCAGACTTAACTGATCCAGGAACCACTCAATACAACCAGCCAGCTACTGTAGCTTTTCCCCTTTGATAAGGGGTTTAACACAATGAGCTTCACAGTTCTTAAATGACTCCCTTTCCCCCCGTCTTTGAGAGGTGGTGCTTATGTGACCTTTTGTTCTGAGTAAAATTTCACATGGTTTGATTACATTTTTTAAAAGTACAAACACAGTGTTGACTCCTCACCCTCAGAGGAAAGCTTAAAATCTCGTAGATGGTATAGAAATGGGACTCGTATCAC